AACAACATTTAAAATATTTCCTAAAGTCACTTTTTCTATTTGCAGAAGTCCTGAATCTATGTTACAATAATTTCTTTCTCTTCTAATTAGTTAGCATAGAGCACATAGAATGCTAGCACTCATTCAGCACTATACTGCTTGGTGATAATCCATTAGAGAATGTTGAAGATATGCTTTTATATCTACGTGTGACATCCATATCCATCAAAAGATTCAACTGTGTAACTAAAATATATGTATATTATGAATGTAATACATACATATACACATGCCATATATGTAACATGAGTATATGCGTAATACACATACATATATATTTATAAGGAACCCCAGCTTAGTTGCTCAGTCAAAGAATGCTGAAAGGCCACAATGTGTTCTTTTGTTTTGGGGCCATACCTGGCAATGCTCAGGGCTTAGTCTTGGCTCTGCACTCAGGAATTACTCCTGGCAGGGTTTGGGGGGACCACTTGGGATGCTGGGGATCAAACCTGGGTTGGCTGCATGCAAGACAAGTGCCCTACCTGCTGTACTCTCTCTCTGGCCCTGCACTGTGCTCTTGTTTCAACGATGTTGGTCAATTTAATAATTGTGCTGGTTCCCTTTATTGCCATGGCAGTATTTCATGGTGAATAGTTCTCAATCATTGTAGCTAAAATACAATTGACTGCACAAGCATTGGTACATCCCAGGGAAATGATTTGTTCTCCAACTTCTCAAGTGGCCAGAGTCACTATGGAAATGTTAAGGACAACAAGAAGGTATTAACAAGTAATCGGAGATGAAGACTCTCATGACCTCAGAGGAGCGAGAAGCACGGAAGGGGCCATGGACAACACGGTCCCTGAGTGTGTCAGGCCCTCCCCTCCCCACCCCTGGTACTGCCCATCTTGTAGCATGCTCCCTGCTGGTGCAGCTGAGTAAGGAAGAAAGTTACCGGTGGGAAACCTGCCCTTTCCTTAAACCTCAGAAGCATGTTACTGCGTGAACCCAGAGCCCAGGGAAGTCTCTGGCAGGTCTATCTCAGCCCTCCTGGGCCTAGTCAACGGTCGAGTCCATGCCATGTAAAAATAACCTGGCTTATTCCTCCTAGGTGCTGCTAACGCAGGCCTGCACAGGAACCTTTTAGTCATTCCTCATTTGTCAGTTCCTGGGAGGGAATGCTGCTGTCTTTTCCCGCCCAGAAATCTGTACCATTAGTTAAAAAGGTTCACATTATAGAGTACAGACTATCAGTATTTCACCCTTTAAAGCACTTAATACCAACACTATGTTGAACACCAACAGTTGAACAAAGACTTTTGCCAGCTGTGACCTCTCAAAGACTAGGTGCGTTGAGTTGAGGATGACTTTTATGACAGGAATGAAAATAAATTTTGTGTTCTTGAAAAAACTCATCTATTTTACAGGGAATTCTTTTATGCAACTGCAATGAAAGACAGCAATCAAAACAAAAGCCTTTCTATTTATCATTATGATGATTTTATTTTTTAAAGTCCCCAGAAAGATTTTAGAAGGTCGAGAATGAATTGAGTGGCTGGAATTGTATCTCAGGTCTTGCATGTGTAAGGCCATGGGTTCTATTCCTGGCAACACACATCACACACACCCAAACCTATACACCCCCCCACCCCAATAAATTTACCTTATTTTCTTCTAAAAATTTCAACTTGATAGAGACATCCTTGCGCATTTTGTCATATTTTTCCTTATGTGCCTGGAACAGAAGCTGTGACTGCTCAATCTTTGGCAGTGTGTTTGCATCTCGTGGTCCAAGATTCAGTTCTTCCAAATCAGTGCGGTAGGCGTCATATTCGATCCTGGAGAGAGAGTTGTGAAATGTTCTACCGGAACAGTAAGAGACAGTCACGAGGTGACTGGCAAATATCCTACCGTCTCCTATTACACAGTATCCTATAGAAATTCTCATTATAGTGTACATGTGTAAAAATCACATTATTTCTTTAACACAAAACAGCCATTCAACACAACTTGCTTCTTAATATCTCATCAACCATTCCCCCCAAAGTACTGGACAAATGAAAGTTCCAACATCTGAAAACAATCTAACGTATCAAGATTGAGGGTAGGAACCAGCCTCCCACGTGAATCAGCTGTTATTGATACAGTAAAGCTGGTGCTTGTCTTGCACGTGGCTGACTCTGACATGATCACGTATGGTTCCCTGAACATGGCCAGCAATAATCCCTGAACACAGAGCCAGGAGTAAGCCCTGAACACTATTGGGTATGCCCTCCCCCGTTCCCAGCACCAATAAATGAGATAGTACAAATGGGGACGGATTTCTGCAGTATTTAGAATGTGGCAAGAGGATCTATTACAGAGCACTTAGGAGCCTGTGCTTCTGAAGATGCCTGCCCTAATCCTCTATGGACACAGGCTGCTGCAGCTCTCCCACCAGCACACCCCACGGCCCCTCTGCCATGGCCAGTTGCCAGCACAGGCAACAGTGGCGTTGGCAGTCTAAACTGGTCTGTATTCAGCTAAAGAGCTAAGTGACCGCTAGCACGGTAAAGAATAAGCACACGGAAAATGGGCACTGGTGGAGGGATGGATACTCGACCATTGTATGACTGAAATGCAAGCATGGAAGTTTATAAGTCTGTAACTGTACCTCATGGTGATTCACTAATAAAAAAAATAAATAATAAGCATCACAGAGGTGGGCGCCTTAATCAAGGCTCTTGATTCGAATATCAAGAGCACAGTAGCCCCCCCACCCCATCCGCCCCATGGGTGACACTGCCCCGGGAGCAAGTGGCAACAGAAGCACAAAGCAGGCTGGTCCGAGAGGTCGGCAGCAGTCAGGGCTTGAGTAGTAACACATCTGCGGGTCTCTGCGTTCACCTGGCTGGACAGGTTGAGCGAGCATCCTCGGGAGTGGCCCCAGAACCCTCCCAAAAGCCTCCCCTTCCCCATGCCCCGAAAAATTTGGTGAAACCAGGTGAAGTGAAGCAGGAAACTCCTCATTAGGAAGAGATCAAAATGAACAAGGCCCATTTCTGTGAGCACATTTCCAACACATCTGGGAAGTGAGCACGTCAGACATCTCGACAATGGAACTGGAGGCATATGGGAAGGCAGGACCGGGGGCTACATGGTGATGCCCATGTGGAGTTTAATCTGCATTAAACCACACTCAAATATGAGCCACTGAGTTCAAGTGGGGTGAATGTACTAAGCAGGATCGGAGAGGCCATGCTAATGGTATCCACTTTAATCCAGCAGGTAAGAGACAAGTCATGAAGACTGCTGGTCTAGAAAGTGACAGGATTTCTGTCTGCTCACACACAGGAAGAGAAATATTGCTCTGATGGTAGTGCAGGAACTGGAGCAGAAGATTCAGAATTCAGAAGCAAGATACGCATTAGAAGAGGGTGTGTGGAGTAAACAGAAGCAGGTTACTGAACGGGAACAATGGCAGGTGCTAAGAGAAGACAGGGCTGGAGCGATAGCACAGTGGGTAGGGCATTTGCCTTACAAGCGGCCAACATGGCCGACCCGAGTTCCATTCCTCCGCCCCTCTCAGAGAGCCCGGCAAGCTACCGAGAGTATTCGATATGCCAGACACAGTAACAACAAAGTCTCCAATGGAGATGTTACTGGGCCCGCTCGAGCAAATCGACGATCAACGGGAGGGCCTTTTAAGAGAAGACAGATGGACAAGATGCAGGAGTCACGGGGCTGGAGCGATAGCACAGAGGGTAGGGTGTGTTTGCCTTGCACGTGGCCGATCTGGGTTTGATTCCCAGCATCCCATATGGTCCCCTGAGCACCGCCAGGAGTGATTCCTGAGTGCAGAGCCAGGAGTGACCTCTGCGTATTTCCGGGTGTGATCCAAAAGGCAGGGAAAAAAAAAATAAAAGATGCAGGAATCATGACTTTGGTCACATGGCCACGGTCTCAGAGTCAAACTGAATGGCCCTTCATGGCTCCAGTGTCTTGAGCTAGATTTAGTTCTTCTTCCTTCAGCTTTTCACTGATACACAGGAAGCATGTCTATACAAATATCCCATGTTTACATACATTAGATGTTCTTCAGACAACTGGTAACAACAAGTATCTTAGAGTGCTCATTATTAGGGCCAATTTAGAGGGTCAATCAGCAGCAGACATACTAAAAAACAGTTAAGACACAAAAAAGAAAAAGAGAACAACAAACAGTCCTAAGAGTGATTTACTGTGATTACTAAGGTCCTTCTCTAGCCTCTGAGCACAGTTCTGCTCCCACTGAGCACCAGTGGGCTGTCTTGCCTACAGTGCAGAGAGGGAGCAGGAAGGGTCAGCCAGACGCCACTGTAAGTGGGGCCTCTTGTGCTGACCCAGCAGACTGGCCTTCCCTATGGGCCAGTGAATTCTGGTTTTGAGAGGGGAAAATTTAGCTGCTGAAGAAAGTTGAGTAGCAATGTATCTGCAAATAGGTAGTATTTTAGTAGTCGGACTGCAGCTAGTTCATAAGTGGCACAGAACGGCCAACCTCCAAGCTAAGTGTAATGAATAAAGTCGCTGATTGTAATTTTTTATGAAGGCCAGGTTATGGGGCGAGGCCTTTATTGTTGTTGGGTTGCAAAGTGCTCAGAGGTTTCCAGCTGCCAAGAACACAGAACTTGATTTATGATTTTGTTCCAAACAAACCTGCACGTAGCATAAATTCAGACCTTATATAACAGGATGAGTTAGGTCAGATTTCTCATTAGGAGGTAATGCAATATTAAAAAGAAAATAGATGTGAACATCTGTACTTAATTCCAATAAAATCCTACTGGTTAAAAGCAGAAAAGAGGAGCGTGTGGGAGTCTCATCTGGGCTCTGACCCAGATCCCGAGAGTGGCCAGCTAACGTCCAGGGCAGTGTTGTTCCACGAGGCCCTTCGGTTCCTGTTGGCCCCCTCAGGATTCCAAACAGACACAGGTGAAGACCACATCAATAAGGGACATGAGACTGGGGAGGTGGGGGCACAGAAGGAAATAAGATTGGGACGGGTGCTCGCTTTGGCAAGCACATACACTAAAACTGGAAGAATACAGAGAAAGTTAGCACGCCCCTGAGTAAGGATGACATGCAAATTCGTGACTTGTTCCATATTAAAAAAAAAAAAAAGACTGGAACGGGGACAGGGCTGGAAAAAGGCAGAGCAACACTGCTCTGAAATGACAGTACAGAGGGTAGGGCCCTTGCCTTGTAACGAACAACCTGAGCTTGATCCCTGCCACTACATATGGTCCCCTGAGCCCCCTGGGAGTGGCCCTGGGCACGGAGCCAGGAGTCAGCCTTGAGCATCACCAATGTGGACCCCAAATAAGAAAAACAACACACAAAACAATGACAACAAACCCCAATATTATTCTAGAGACTCTTCTTCTCCACCAACTAAATATGTTTTGGACGTGAACGGGTGACGGTCACGGTCCTCCCGTTATTCATCGATTTGCTCGAGCGGGCCCAGCAACGTCTCCATCGTGAGACTTGTTACTGTGTTTGGCATATCGAATACGTCACGGTAGCTTGCCAGGCTTTGCCATGCGGGCGAGATACTCTTGGTAGCTTGCCGGCCTCTCCGAGAGGGGCGGAGGAATCGAACCCAGCTGGGCCGGGATGGCTGTGAGATTGATAAACTTGTCTTTCTTTAATGTACATTAGTATTTTTTTAAAAAGAATGTTAGAAACAAAAAAATAAATAAAAGCATGTTAGAAACAAATAATACTCAGGTATCTCAGGATAGGTGAACTATTACAAAGTGAAGAAAAAGAAATTAAATTTGTTTGGTTCTCAACTGGGATGTGGTGGGAGTACTTTGAGAGCCAAAGAATTTTCCTCTCCAAAAATCACCAATATTGGAAACAGTCCAAAAGATTAGAAAATGGGAATGCTTAAGACAAATAAAAATAGGGACTGGGGAGCTAGATCAGAGGTCAAGGGTACATGACTGACAGGACCCAAGTTCAAACCCCAGCACCATGTGACACCCCTGCTCTCCTAAGCACCCCAGAGTGGTCTGGTGGCCACCAGCACCACTTGGCCAAGTATCAACCTGTCCACCAGGATTGGCCGAGGACTGCCAGAGTGACCCCTGAGCCCCTGTACCCTGCCTAGGATAACCCCCCCGGGCCTCTAGCCCAACACACAGAGAAAGAGATAAAAGAACAATACTCATTACAAACAAATTAGTATATTTCGAGTAAGGAGCAGATTTGGAAAGCAAATGAATAATACTCATAAAAATGAAAATATACATTAAAATCCTTTGAACAATATAAACAATGCTCCTGAGAAAATCTAAACTTAAGACTAGGGAAACAAATGCTGGGGATGCTATTGAGGGTTATCGATTGCTAAGTTACTTAAAATTCTATCTTACACCTTCTGATTTCAACACATTAGTAAACAATTGAAACAATAAGGAAAAGCAAAAAAATCAAGTTTAAAAGAAGGTACCAACCTTCTGCAAGGCAACTAGAGTTGACTGACCTTCATTTTCAGGAAAAGAAGAATATCATACGTTGACACTACACTGAGAATTACAACCAACACAGGGCAGACGATCCATTCTTGTGACAGGATCAAAAGCTAACTTTCCAAGTGATGTGCACTTTTACTCCGGCACAGCATAGGGAAAGACATACTTGAGAACAAGCATGCAAACGCAAAGAAATGAGTTTCATTTCTCAACAACTTTTCTCACATCATTAAAATAAGGCAAGAGGCCAAAAAGTAAATAAAGTGCAGCTTTGAAAGGTAGCAATTGTGCTCGTCTTGAACTGTGCTATTATAAGTCTAACAGAAAATAAGGATTTCAAAAGGTTTAGAGGGCAAAAAACTCAAAGGGGAGTAGAATAAACAAGAGGGGGCTGGGCCTAAAACAGAAATGGCTGTGACGGGTCTCCTGCACGTTAGATATTGAAACATTTATTCATATGTACAGTGTTTACCTAAGTGGGTGCCTATAAGATACTGTGTACACATACACAGAACGCATGAAAACACCACATTATAAGCCAACTATAAAATATAAGACAAATATTTATGCACAGGACTTTGAAGATTATCTATATAGCTATAATCATTAACAGAGAATCAGAGCTGCTATCCACAACTAAAATATAATCATGGCGGTAGATATGGGTTTACAGACAAGAGAAATTGAAAGGGCAAGAGAGATAGCGCCGTGGGTAAGGCTCTGGCTCTGCATGTGGCTGGTCCAGGTGTGATCCCCGGCATCCCAAATGGTCCCCCAAGCCATGCCAGAAGTGATTCCTGAGCACAGAGCCAGGTGTGAGCTCTGAACGTAGCCAGTTGTGGTCCCAAACCAAAACATCAAAGAGAGGAGCAGGAAGCGAGACACTGCTGTAGAAGCTGGACGATGATGCAAAGAAGGGGGCAAAGGTGGGCTTTGTCCAGATGACAGAGCACAGGAATCTGTGGTAGAGCCCACAGCCCCGTGTCCTCTTCCAAGGAACAAGAGTGTGGTGGGCTTCCCTTGTGCAGGTATGGTTTGGGCCCACCATCAAGACTCCGTCAGAAACTTTTAGGGATGGTGCCAAGTACTAAGGGTCATTTGGACATGGTTCATGGGAGTCGCAGCCCAGTCAGTAACCACCAGAGGTCCTCAGCATCGGGGCCCTAATTAAAGTCTTCTGGGCATTATCGTGATGTTGGTTCCTGCCTATTCAATAATCTGTTCTGACTTTGGTGAGCTTGCAGGCTCACTAAAAACCTTCTATTATATTCACATTCTGCCCACACTAGTGAGAATCGGTTTTTCTTGTTTGCAGTGAAAAAACTTTCACAGTTACTTACTGCCTGTAAAATAGATAATACAGTGAAAAATGATACCTACCTGGCACTTTCATACTGTTTCACAGTCATTAATGTATCTTCAATGGTTTTATTCACCAAAGTGTTCACACTAGCGATGAAAAAATTAATGGCTCCAAGAAGTGTCTCTCCGTTTTTAGCCAGCAGCTTCTGGGTATCTGCGTTATAGCCAAATTCCTCCTACAGCAAAGAAATCAACTCCACTTATCCTCTGATAAATCAGTAAATATGACTACATTTTCAAGAATATATGCTGAAAAAATATTTGATTTAGAAATTCGCAATCTTTCTTTTTGTCGTAGGGGGTCTAAAACTCACAAAATATAGTCCCTCACTCCACCCCCAATGCCTCAAAGTGTCCAGGAAACTGAAACTGTCAGCAACTCAAATGGAGAGTGAAAATCAAATAATTCTAGGTTAAACTACTTTGTACCAGAAAGAATATTTTCATTTCTACATTTTGTTTCTATTATACTGTAAGCACAGCTGTTGGAAAGAAAAATATAGCAGGTTATCAATCAGAGAAACTGTAGCCTTCACAGCCAAATTAGGTAACAATTGGCTAGAATGTCCAGTCATAAAACAGATAGCCATGCGGGGGTTCGATGGGACCTCATCAAAGGATAAATATTAACAATACACATGTCTTTGTAAACTCCGTGGTGAGCTGACTCCAAAGCACAGGTCTGTGTTGGCACACGGCTGAGGAAGGATCACTCAACACCCGCTTTAGTTCATTCTCTTCGAGTAAACTCAGTCTGGGCTTAGCGGACATTATACATGACTCCTTCAGATGTAACAAAACCAATTCTAAATCTCAGCTGTGAAAACTTTCTAGTTCACTTCTGATTAATCGATGAATCCAGAGCACCTTAGGCCAAATTAAAAATTGAGTCATATAGATGTATCATTCAACCTGAGAATTTTATTCATTTTATTTTTTTGCTTTTTGGGTTGTACCCGGTGATGCACAGGGGTGTTACTCCTGGCCCATGTACTCAGGAATTACTCCTGACGGTGCTCAAGGGACTGTATGGGATGCTGGGAACTGAACCTGGGTAAGCCGTGTGCAAGGCAAATGCCCTACACGCTGTGCTATCGATCCAGCCCCTCAACCTGAGAATTTTAAAGTGTATTAAAATTGTAAGGCTCTTTTAAAATTCCAGCTGAAAAAAAAATAATGCAATACTAAGTTAACCAAAATCTTAGAAGAACGCAAATAAATCCTGGAGCTGCTACAGCTCTCGTTCAATTTCCAAGAGATGAAATATTCAATAAACAGCAGGAAAGTAAAATTGTCTTTCGTATGCCAAAATCTGTTTCTATTTAAGAAAGAGCTACGGAACTCTTTACTCTGGATACAGTCTTCAAAGTTCTTAGATGCTGATTTGCAAACACTGGCAGATACATAAAAGAATACATAGGCGAGAAACAGAAACTGGGTCAATGGGTCAAAAAAGACGGAAGTGTCATCAGGAATGACCACTGAGTCAGAAGTATTCCCTGAGCACCACTAGGTGTGTCCCCAAAACAAAAATAAGTATTAGAAGTAATATTAATGTACAATGTAAAAACGAAATAAAAGAAAGATAAAATGTTACTGGAAATAGAACAATTACAGGAAAAATATTTGGAAACACTTATTGGTATTCACTGAGAGGAAAAAGGGAAGACTGAAAGTTAAGGGCTGGAGATGATAGAATCGTGGGTAGGGTGCTTGCCGTGTCTTGAATGTGGTCAACTTGGGTTTCATCACTGGCTTCATATATGGTCCTTTGAGCACCCCAGAAGAAATCCCTGAGTGCAGAGCCAGGAGAAAGCCCTGAGAACTAATGGGTGTGGGCAACAAAAATTAAGTCAATAGAGGAAGAAAAATATAAAAGTTGGATTAAATAGCTCATAAAAATATTTTTCTATTTACCATATAGCCAAGTGTGTATATATAATTACATTATCATTACATGTATATTAATGTTTGCACCATTACATTGGGCTGGAGTGATAGCACAGCGCGTAGGGTGTTTGCCTTGCACGGGGCCAACATGGCCGACCCGAGTTCAATTCCTATGCCCCTCTCAGAGAGCCTGGCAAGCTACCAAGAGTATCTTGCCCGCACAGCAAAGCCTGGCAAGCTACCAGTGATGTATTCTATATGCCAAACATAGTAACAAGTCTCACAATGTTACTGGGCCCACTCAAGCAAATCGATGAACAATAGGAGGACAGTGACAGTGACCATTACATTTGCAAGCACTGGCAGATACATACATACA